TCCCTGTGAGAAGACACGGTATCACAGGAAAAGATTTAACATGACTCTAAGTGGCACTTATCAAACTCTCTTTGCAACATGCCTTTCAGGCAGCAAGGCGGTGAGAGAAGCCAGCTTAGAAATCCACACCTGGCGGTCTCAGGGGCTGAGGCAACCTTCCCATGTATCTCCACGGGGAAGCCTAAGGTTTAAAAAAGAAAAAGTTTCTAGTTAAGAAAAAAAAAAGACTGCCTCTCAAAGGATGCTAAACATTAACATGAATTTTTAGTAGGTAACGGTTTCTTTTTTAAATGAAACTTTTGAGATAGTGTAGCTTCTTGTCCGGTGTAAGAAACAACAGAGATCTTCAGTGTACTCTACCCAGTATACCCCAATGGTAACATCTTGCAGACTCTAGTACAATATAACCACAATACTCATATTGATACAATCAGATACAGGCTGCTGCTGTCACAAGAATCCCTCCTGTTGCCCTTGTACAGTCACATTCACCTTCCAACTGCGTCCCTCATGCTCAGCCCCTAGCAACCACCAATCCATTTACCATTTCTGTGATTTTGGCATTCCAAGAATGTTATATAAACAATTTTAGAGCATATGACCTTTCAGGACTTGTCTGTCTCATGAATACCCGCCCCGAGAATCATCCACGTTGTCTAGGTATTGAGTTTGCTCTTTTTTTTTTACTGCTAAGTAGTATTCCATGACAAGGATATATCATAGTTTATCTATTCATCCACTAAAGGGCATCTGAGTGGGTTCCAGCTCTTGGCTATATAAATAAAGATGCTATGAACATTTGTGTATAAATTTTTGTGTGAACATAAATCTTCATAACTTTGAGATAAATGCCCAGGAGTGAAACTGCTGGGTCATATGGTAGCTGCCTGTTAGTTCCATAAAAAACACTGAAAATGTTTTATAAAACACTGAAAGTGTTTTTCCAGAGCCAAAGTTTCAGATTTTATTTTTTTGCTGTTTTTTTTTGGTAGAGGGGAAATTAGGTTTATTTTATTTATTTATTGCAGGGAAATAACTAGGTTTATTTATGTATTTATTAATGGAGGTACTGGGGAATTGAATCCAGGATCACATGCCAGCTAGGCATACTCTCTACCACTGAGTTTGGTTTTTATTTTTTTTAAGTCTAAGGTTTCAAAAAAAAACAATTTAACTAACTTCATCAAAATCGATTCAAGCCACCTTCTCTCCACTGAGTTCACACATCCACTCTGTGAAGCAGTGGTCACTGGTGAGGTCTCAATGGGCAGCCCACAGACCTCCCCTTCCTGTTAACAGGGCAGCTAGTATTCCCTCCTGCAAAGATTCTGCACAGCTCACTCACAGAACAAATATTAAGTGCCACTATGAACCATGGAGCCAGGCTGGTCATTTCCATATTAGGGACATTTAAACTACTTTTTTTAATTATATACACATACTAAGGATTATTAACCTGTAAAAAAAATCTAACTGTACCACTGACAAGCAAGCGTAATTTGCCACGTTCATTCTTTACACACACACACACACACACTCAGATAAGAGGAAGAAAGTAGTTCAAAGGCAACCAGCAGAAAAACAAGCAGCCTGGAAAATTATACCGAAAAGACCCTATCCTTGAGCTTGAACCACAATCCTAATAAAAGCAATACAAATGGCTGTTTCCAAGGAAAAGTATCATGAACCTCAAATTGGCCAATAGCACCACTTCTCACTGATCACCTCAGATTGTAAAAATAATCTGGAGCAAATTTACACACTCTAATAAAAGGATGCACAGTCAACTTTGTAACTAAACAATCCTTTGTGGTCACATATGAACAAGTAAATTCACTTTTGCATTAAAACTAGCAGCTACATTTTCAATTACTTCATTACATGAACATTCAGTGAGAAGAGAAAAAAATCAGATTTCAACTGCACATCATTTCACAAAACATCTGAAAATAGGAGATGTTAAAAGTCTTGACTGAACTTCCAACTGCAATTTATAATGGGATCACCTATAAAGTGCTGTCTGGGGGAAAAAAAAACAACCCAGGGATTTAACAGAACATAACTATGGCAAGAAACAACTTTTTCTAAGTCAGCTCACTAACAAATATAACAAAGACTCCCTAACAAAAATATGCCCGCCCTGCTTTCACTATTATTTCTGTAATGCTGTTAGCACCACAAAGAGGCAGCACAGACATACCCTAAGTTAACAAAGTAGGAAGAAAAGTAGTTGTTTCAGACAAAATTGTCAAATGCTGCAGCAGGGAACTGAAGTTAGCCTCATCCCTTCAGGGCCCCAACCCCATTTCACTAACTGTGCAAACTCCTGTCAAACCCCTTTTTGCCTCTAACTGCTGACTCCACCTCTCCCTCGGTGGAGAACTTAACCAGGGGAGCATGAAAACAAGCACATTTGTGACAACAAGGTATTAGCAGCCACTTTGCCAATGTGGGTTTTTTTGACAAGAAAAAAATTTTAAGGAAAGTAACAGATAGCCTGAGACTCCTCACTTCCAGGAATATGGGCCTCCAAAAAACCCTCAAGTACACTAGAAGGAGCTAAAAGAATTTTTACCTGCAGGCATAAATTCAATCAGGAAAAACAAAAACTGCAAACAATTAGGCACCACTCCACTTCAGGGAGAGGATGATTCCCGAGGCTTGCCAGAGCTCCAGGAGGATAGGGAGACTGATAAATCAGTGCCCAGTGCTGGCAAGGCCAAGCCTGGCAGTAACTGCCAGCCTCCAATCAACTCCAGACAACACTAGGGTCTGCACAGATTCCATTCACAAATCCCAGGGGCCAGGAGCTGTCCACATGGCCAAGAGACAGCTCATGGGTAAAGATCCCAGGGTTAGGGACAGGGATAGTAGCACCTGCCAGTGCCCTGGGCCTTCCTCCCCCCATTCCAGCTGTGAATGAGCCTCTGGTTCCCACACTTCATTCACAGCCTGAGAGGCTGCTGTAACTACATCCCACCAGACCACACACAAAGCATAGTGGCAGCACTGTGAGCAATCCATGGAGATTCCCAGCCACAAATACCTGAGAAAAGGAGCCCAAAGTCCTAAATTTGAGTCCTAACTTCGAGTTGCGTTTCCCATAGACACCAAATTTGCTCCCAAACCACTCATTTTAAAGAGGTCAGAACCCTGAGCAATCAAAAAAATCCAGAATCACCGAAATAACTAAATTCAATAAAAGGTAACTGATGCTTCCTTGCTGATCCATCAGGTCCCCTAGGCAGAATCCCAAGCAACTTTCAATTTTGGAAATATTAAGAAACGGCTTACTCCCCAAGTTTAGACACTTAACTGGAGGAGCGCACGCTGATCACTGTACACCCAAAATAATTCCTCCAGGTGGAGGACTACCCGGGGTCAAGACAACCCTTAGAATCTCAGTTACTCAATTACTTGAGGAAATAAGGTAGAAAAGGGTTTTAACCTCTCACATTTGGGTCTCAAGTCTTTGATAGGGAACCCAGATATCGCACCAGCTCACCGTTTTGGGGGAGAATACAAGTCCTAAGCAGTATGGAAAAAAATTTAACATCAATGAAACACCCCAATTTAAAAAAGGGAAACTTAAAACTCTCAACTAAATTTGGATCCTGATCTGGAGGAGGCCAGGCCAACCAGAAATTTGGGAATCCCATGAACTCACAAAGGCCTCCTCTACAATCCCTGTTAAGGACAGGGTTCCAGGGAAGGGGTCTGCCTCTCCGCACCGCCTAAGGACAAAGGCGGAGACGTTTCCCGCCTCGGCAACCTGGGACCCTCCTGAAACCCGGGGCGGGACAGGGACAAAGAGGAGGAGAGGTGGGGGTAGTAGTCCCTGCTGCGCGGGGCAGGATGCTCCCTGCCAGAGGGGGGTGTGTGCTCCCGGCACGTGCGCGCGTGCGCGCGTGGCGCCGCAACAGACAAAGCCCGGCCC